AAGTGATATTCAGAGCTGCTAGGATTTTTAAACTGTCAGTTTGTATGTCATTCTCATGTTTTATAAATCTTGGTATTAAGTAGAAAAAATATAGCAAAGGTATACTGGAAACTGCCTTCAGTAGTTGACAAAAGACTAATATAACATCAGGTCTGTTAACAGGTAACATTTTTAGGAGCCCTTTTGGACAAGGGTGATCAGTAGATACACGGGTTTTTTCCTTTTACGTTCACAAGATGGTTGTTACAGAGATGGGATACAGTCTTAAAGAATTGTGGTGGCTACAAGATCAAACATATCTAAACCATTTGTGTATCTTGAAGATGTGTTGTATAACGAAAATGAAAACATGAATAAAAATAACTGTGGTTCTCTGCTAGTTCCAGTTTTTGTACAGAATGTATTTCATCTAACTGCAAGTACATTTTTAATGTGTGCTTGTTTTGTTTCATCCCTGTGTATCCGATGACAGTGTATGGGCTTATAAAAGCATACTTTACATGTTTTCTATGGTTGCTCTACCTGGATTATTCTTTGGTAGTTAATAGATAAAAGATTATATAGTACCAATTCTCAAACATTAAAAATATGTACTGAAACATTTGGTACTTGAGAGAAACAGTATTCCTGATAGTCCCAAGATTAATAGCTTCAGAAAAGTGTATGGACCACTTAAAAGTTAGTTAAATAAATAGTTTGTTAAATAAAAGAACTGATTTTAAAAAACGTCTTACAGAATTTCTTCATCATTGGAAGTTAGAAGTTACTTGCTAAGATCTGATGCCATGTATTTGGTATGTTAGATACTTTATTCACATTATAGATATATTTTTAAAACTGAAAGCAGCTGCTCTTTTTGTCAGATCTTTAGACACAAAATAGACTGCAAAATATCTATCAACCTTTTTTTGTTGGTTTTGATACATACAGCATTAGGAATATTGCTTCTTCAGCTTTTTTTTTTTTTCTTTTTTTTCTTTAAGAATTTTATTTGACTTGGGATTTTTAATGTTGATCCAGAGACAAAGATGTCACTAATGCTGTAGGAGAGTTTTGCACTCCTATATTATGCAGTGTATAACACTTTTCATGTTTGATTGCATTTAATGCTTGAGTACTGTGTGTGAAGGTTCAGCTAGCTATATAGTCTCATACCTTCCAGTTAAAGTGAGTAACTGAAGTATTGATGAATCTCCTTCAATTAATGCTAAACCAAAACACGTACCTCAGTTTGAAGGCTGAGTGTACCAGTCCGGGGTTGGCATTTGGAGTCCCTTTTTTTTGGCTCAGAGAGCTGTCCTGGACATGTCAGGACCTCGGTGCAGGTAGCTGGAGCTGACCTCCCTCTCCTGGGCTCCCAGACAAGCAGGGTTGGTGCTCCTGTCCCACTCTGAGGTCTCCGGGAGCTGCGAGGGCTCCGGGCCTGTGCCCATCTCCTCAGCCTCTGGCTCCTGGGGCCTGCAGCCCTCACATGCCCTCAGTGCCTTCAGGCTGCTCTGCCACAGCATTTGGTGTGCTAAAACTGCCCAGACAGAACACTGATCGCTGGCAGGCCTTGTTGAGAATCTCCTTTGGCTTAAGATGAGTAGGATTTTCTTAGTCTGTGTTCCTACCTGGCTGGCTTGGAAGGTGAGGCGCTTTCTCATGGAGACTTGGGCCTGGGTGTTGAGGGGTTAAAGCCCACTGGAGGCCCCTGTATGGGGCATCTGACTGGTTTTGTGGTGGTACAGATGGGAAGTTCTTGTGTTTCTGAGGAATTCATGGCTGTGCCACTGGTCCAGTGCATGTGTATTTTGACTGTTAGAGAGGAGTACAGACCTCTCTCCTTCTTTGGCCTGTGGAGGAGTGCAGTTAAGAGAAGACAACACTACAAGTGACTGAAATATCTTGTGCCAACTTCCAGTCATCCCTCTTACTGACTTTGTGGCAAATGTACAGAAATAAGAGAAAAGAATGACTTGATTCTTACTGAGAGCTAAAATGCCTGGTCACTGAAACTGAGGGCTCCTTTTCAGATATCTCCAAGGGAGTGGGGGCGATGGCAGCTTTGTGTTTTTTCTAGCAAAATATTTGTTCAACCTTGGTTTTTGTCAGTCAGAAGTAAAACATTTTAATATACTGTAATTTGGGTTTTTTTGTGTATTATCAAAGAAATAATTGTAGAAAGGTCAAGCTTGAGAGAAACCTTTTACGATTATCTAGTCTGACCTGCCTGTGTAAGCAGGGTCAGTCTGAACTGTGTTGGGTTGTAAATATCTCCAAGGATGGAGTCTCTAGAACCTCTCTGGGCATCTGTACCAGCAGGTGACTACCCTTCCAGTAAAACAGGTGGAGTTTTTTTGTCCAGATGGAATGTAATGGTTTTTAATGTTCTTGGTATTTAATTGAATTATGACTTTGGCCAGGGAGTGACTAGAAAAATGCTGAGGGATTCAACTACATAGGAGGTGAGCACCGTTTATTTTCTTCTTCTTTGGCAGGGGGGGAAGAAGCTGACTTATTTTCACCTCCTCTCTAGGCTTTTAAAAGAAATACCTGCTATTTAGTTTTAAAGGATGGATCAGGTACTCCATAAGATGATAATCTCTAGAGGGCAGAGTTTGTTTTGTGCTGAAGCATTTTTAATGTCTCCCCTGTTGGGAGGGAAAGGAGACATTAAGAATGTGTGGGCTAGAGCTTTATGGCGTGATGGGGATAACCTCCAAAGTGAAGAAGGGCCTACTATAAATCACTTGTAGAGAAAAAATAGTGTTTGCATTATTTTCTTAGCTTATGTCATAGATACTTCTATATTCTCTTGCAATTTTTCTGTACTGAAAGTAAAATTACTTTTTATACTAAAGCAAAAATGAGAAAATTTGAAATTAGTAAAAACTGGATGTACTTTTTGTCCATTAAATGGTTATTTTTAAAATAAAATGTCCTCTTATAGAATCAGTTTATAGCATTTCTATGGATGGATTTTTCATCATTTTCAGACAGATGTTATTTCTTGTATCCATCACTTTTAGCCAGTTGATGAATTGACATGGTAATGTTTTTTGTGATCCAGCCACTGTAATAAATAGGTAAGAAAGTAAAATTATTGGTGGCTGTCTTTAGAAGTGGTTGAAAATGTGCAGAACACCAGTACAAAAGCTTGATGGCCTTGAGGGAAGAGCAGAGGTGCGAGATGGAAAATTTCTCAGCCTGTTTTGAGATGAGCTCCATGGGTTGTTGCATGCACAGATCATTTGTTGCTACACATAGAGCTGTACTTAAAAGGAAATTAATTTGTGTTGGAATATCCTGATAATGTTGATGATAGTCAAACTTACATCTTGAAACATTTATATCTGCAATGGTATTCAAAGAGAAATTAGACATTCCTTTTGCAGGATTTCTGGAAGCCATACTGCATTCTGCATTGCTCTGTGCTCAGCTACACTAAATATAACAATGTACTTTAACCTTTCTCAGATTTGATAAAAACACTTTCAGTACTGTTTTCTTTTTTCTTTAATCCTGCATCTTGATTCACTCTACCTTTTTGATTCACTTTTTGTTAACTTTACTGTCTGTCAGTAGGGCTGTCTGCTGACCTTGTCTGAGATACCATTTGTTGACCTCTTGGTGCTGGCCCTGAATTAGACATATGTCAGGGTTTGCAATGTGAGAACTGCTGTCAGAGAGCATAGGGAGACTTTCAGGGATATTTTCAGAGCCTGGAGTGCATAGCTTATTGTAAGCTGGGACTGTTCAAGTTTAGCACTTTGCGGGGGATTGTCCTTGTGGGCTCTTGACATCAAACAATGTTAAATCTTGCTCCCTAGGGATTGAGTCTGATAGTTTGCTAGGCTGTTGTAAGTAAGGCTCTAAAACCAACCTACCAAATGCAAATGCTGGCCATTTTGCAAAATTGATGCTAGAGAATTATAAATGTGCAGCTATGTCACCATTTTGTGCTTTCTTGAAGTGCATGGTGGCACCAAAATGTCTGGACTCAGCCTAACCTTATTTTCCTTAAAAGTAGGTGCTTCTATTTTGGCAGTAGCTTTGGAACTGATCAAAACATCTGTCTCCACCTTTTCCTCATAGAGGCTACTCAGTGCCCAAGCGTGGCAGGTCCTTTGTTCTTTTGTTAGGTGAATCCAGTGTGGATTTGCCTTGACTTTTCTAGAATTACTTTTCACTTTACTTTTAGAGTCCTCATAGTATTTAGAGTCTACAGCAGGGGCAGAAATCAGATGGGCCTGTGTCCTGTGTTCTTCATTTGGCAATGTTGAAGGTGTGAGGGGTTGAATGTGAAGGTAATAGTACTTATCCTATCCTTAAGGAGAGGATGTATGACATTCACAGGGTCCCCAGGATAACTGTTCAGATAGACCATGTATCTTGAAGTTAGATAAATGATAGGCAGCCTCTTTCTCTGCATGGGTGTGTGCCTCATTAGGAAGGTAGTACCTGATCATTCTTGCTGGCTACTTTTCTCTCCCCACATAGAAGAGGGAGCACTTACATTTCCAAATACCTGAAATATGGGACCATACTGATATTATGGGTTGATATTTGTTGAAGCTGTTGGACATGACGGTTGCATGCCTAGGAGCATTGAACCCATTCAGAACGTGTTAAGCTTCCCTTCAGCCTCTGTGTTCCTGAGTTGCTTTTGTGGTTTGTTTTCAGTTGCTGTGCCAGACAGTCCTTGAAGTAATGATGTTAAAGGTAGCATTGCTCATCACTGATGTCAGAAAGAAATTTCTTTGCCAAGTCTGTTTCAGTCAGGATTTATGCATGATAGCATGAAAATGTTCTAGTATTTCAGTTGACACAGGAATATTCAGCTTGAAAACTGTAAAGAGAAATCTGAATCAAAATTCTAATAATAATTTCCAATATCTATAAAACTGATGCAGAATATGAACCTTGAAAATTATATAATACTACCATCTCCTCTTCCTTTAGCACTTAGCCCCCTTCATTTATTTTCATACCTGAATTAATGGTAATATAAAAATTTCTTGCCAAATTGTAAACTTTAGTCCAAAGGAGTATTAGCTGAGTGAGGTTTTCTTTTCTCTTTTTTTTTCTCTTTTTTTTTCTTTTTCTTTTCTTTTCTTTTTTTTTTTTTTTTTTTTTTTTTTTTTTTTTTTTTTTTTTTTTTTTTCCCTGTGGGATTGTACTGAATAGGGAGTTTTAAAATGAATGTAGTTTCTTAATCTCAAGTACTGGATTATTTCCTGATTATGTGTGACTGACCCATTGTGTACCAACAACAAACTTTTAAACTGTTTGCCTTTTACTGTTTCATGGCTGTTTTATTCAGAAAGTTAATTTCTGACTCACTGAGTATTGTACCAAATTGCAATTCTCACAAAAAGAGCAGTAAATGGAAAGATTTGGTGAAATTGCTTTTATAACGTTTTGAAAAGTTAGCATGCTTTGTAAACACTTTGCTCTGTGATGGCTCCTTGAAGCTTTGGTTTAGGATGTAAGCTTTGCCACATAGTAAATTATACTCTTCAGATATTTGAGACTAATCTCATAAAATCTCAAATCTCTAATTTGAGATTTTAGAGCTTAATATCAAATATCTATTTCTGACAAATTTCTCATAGTATTAGTATTTGTTGAATAGGTTGGGAAGAAGGTTTGTATGTCCTATTTCCCTGTTACCATTTCATACCATTTAAGGAATGATTTAAGAAACTCATTTCAGGGTTAAAAATGCCCTCAGTTGTTCTGTTTTTTGAAATGGTTCAGTATCCTATAACATTGAATAGTTCTATAGTGAATGTTGACAAGATCTTGTCTTTGTTTCCTAGAAACATTTTTTCTTCGAGGTAATTTGAACCAATATCAGGACTTTTTGGTAGCAGTGCAACTTAATAGTAATTAAAATTTTTCACTTGCTTCAAGGACTTATTTTCTAGACAAGCAGTATCTTATGGATCAGGAATGAAAACTACTTTTATATTTGGATTAAAAAAGACCACTTCAGTGTAAATACATAAAAATTACAAAAGTTTCTTTAACTGTTCTTTTTTTTTTCTTTTTAAATATTCAGCATTCTTCATGTTTTTCTTCTTACTCTCATCTTATTTTACATTTACTGCTCTTACCAGATACCTTTGGAGCTGAGAAAACTAAGAAGGGAATAATAATAGAATTTTATATTTGAGTCCAAGTTCATTGTTGAATGTGCAGAATATAGAAATAAGGCTTTTGAATGCAGTTTAATTGAAAAACACAGTATTTCTTTTTATGATATGGTTTATATTTGTCATTGACTTTTCTGAGTTTAGAGATGTTTCATCACACAAGTTGAGATCAATTGTAGTGTTTTCCATTTGCATTGCTACTTGTTTCTGCTAATAGATTTAACAGTAATAGCAGAAATATTGAACCATTTCTTAGCCCAAAGGTGTTAAGCTGTTTCTCAATGCATTCATCCTCAGCACTGAGGGTTGAGAGCCACAGGCTGGTGAAAGCTCTTCTATGGCTGTGCTAGGCTCAAGGAAGATTCAGCTATTCTTTATTTTTGTTGTTGTTTTGAAGCACTGACATACTCCAGCTCTCTTTTTCTTGATATATATAATTATATACAAACTAAATCAATTTACAAAACCTTGTATGGCTGTATTTAACACGGTGATTTTTTGCTGTCTGAAGAATTCTCATGTCTCTTGAGACATCCATCTAAAAAGCATAACTTCTTACCTATTCAGCAAAGCAAAACTAAAGCAGTTGTAGGTTTTTTTTTCCTAAGAACATTCTGCCCTTTATGTTGTTGCAGACATTCCACACCAGTGAATATGCATGAATTTTGTTATGGTTCTGGAGGTTCTTCCTAACCTTCATGCTAGCAACTGCAGATTTGGTGTGTGATGGCCGAGGGTTGGGTTTTTTTTGATTGAAAAGGAAATACAAAGTCTCTGGAGTTAAAAACAAATAATTGTAGTTTGTTAGGGTACAGTTCTAAGATTTACAGACCATTTGGAGAGTTACATGCCAAACTTCTACTAGTAAAAATAATTTATTTTTGTGTGTGATAATTATATACATCTAAGCTATTTTAGATGTGGCAACAAAATCAGTTTATTTTAGTTATCACTTGTAAAAGCATTTGCTGAAGTCTTAAGGCGTCTTATTTAAACATGATGATTGTAATTTTTGCAGGTTTCTGTAGCTGCTTCCAGTGCTGGAAGAGGATCTCCAGCTGTAACTCTAGTGCAGTTGCCTTCTGGTCAAACTGTTCATGTCCAGGGTGTTATTCAAGCCACACAGCCCTCAGTCATTCAGTCACCACACATGCAAGCTATTCAGGTTAGCTTTTTTATTGTTACATTTTCATTAATATTTGGTACCTCATAATCCAACCGATTATCAGTTTCTCTCCATTACAACCAGTGCTGCAAGATTTACTCAGATGGTACAGGAAACAGCAGGGGGAAAGGTGGCAAACATCCAACCAGCAGCAGCACTACAAGCATTGTGAAGCAATTTCTTAATGCTTCCTGTTTATCATACAAGAAATTGTCTTGGAACTTGAGTCTGAACTTAAGTAATAGCAAATTTGTGTCATAACATGGCCTTACTTCAGTGTATCCTGCAGTTTTTACATTTCGTTAAATTCTATGAAAATAATTTCTAATATTTCTAATGAGACTATGAACTCATAAATTTTCACATATCTCCTATTGTGTTATTGGAGAGGGCCTAGATGTAGTAGAAGTAAGCATATTATATCAGGTGGTTCCTTGTTTTTAAGCCCTATCAGATCCTGTTAGAGCATCTGGTATTGCTTTTTGTGGTTGTAGGTACGTAGATACCAAAAATACGGGCAGCCTCAAAACAAACATTTATGTGGCAAATGTTCACATGTTTGAACTTGCTGGAACTAGAAAAGAGGAATTGGTGCAAAATGTGTAAGACTTTTCAGAGTTTTTAAAAAGTAGAAAAGGCAAGAGAGAATGAATTTGTAGTGTCTTGAAAATTCCTAGGCCTCTCATTGGTGTTTATTTTCTTGTAGCAAGGAGGGCCTCTGCTGTAGTCTTATTAAAATCTGTTTGGGAAATGTCAACTGAATTGATTTTTGCTGATACAAAATATATCATGTTTTGTGTTGATGTTTCTGGTAAGAGAGGTGATATGCCTCTCCCTGTTATGAGGGAAGGGGTTTACCTGTGGCCATTGCAACATGTTAAGGAAAAGCCATGCATTGTCAGTCTAGAGAAGCCTTTAATGTTAGAGGTTTCTAGTAACTTTCTAGTATAATAAATAAAAAGACATAAAAATGATTTATATCTGAGAAAAAGAATAAAACCATGATCAGATAGTGAAAATTTAATTGCTGAGCAGCATACGTAGATGACACCTCAAGGTTTTGAAATCCTAGATCACCACTGAAAGAAGTGTAGTTGATGTCAGTACTTCATCAAACTTGGAGTTAGAACAGAGTATTCAAAGTAAATACCCTTTTTCATTGGAATTCTTTCTAACTGTAAATTTCCTGAGTAACCTTTATTCAATAGGCACATTAGTAATTCTGTTTCTGTCACTGCTTTTCTTTAAGTCAGTGTAGTCAGGGCATGCATGCAAAGATAGAGGACTTTTTTCAAAGCACAGAGGGAGAAGTTTCTCAGGAATCTCTTGCCAGCTGCTGCTCTGTCATCTTAGGAGAGTGGAAGTCAACTATTTGTTGTATTGACTGAACTCTGGCTATCCACCCTTTCCCAAAGGAGTAGAAACAGGAAAGTTTTGTCCCAATTAATACTGACTAGTTAGTTCCAGGATTTTGCTTTAGTTTCATCTGGATAAGAAAGGGATTGAAGATGCTATAGAAGACTCCATTACAGAGGGTGTTCAGCCCTTCTGTGATCCTTTTCAGTACACTATCCTTCCATCTGTCATTTCCTCCAGATCATTTGGCTTCAACTTGCTACCTTCCCTCTGCCAGACAGTGGGGAACTTGGGAAATTAAATCAGTTTAAAAAAGAAATAAAGAAGTATGCTAGAGGTTGGTGTTGAACCTTGCGTGACCTCTCCCTCACACATCTGCCGTTTTCAACTGGAAGGTGCTCAGAAGTTTTTCTCATAATGCTGTTGCTTTTTAGATGAAAAAATACATTTATAGCATTCCTTATTGCTTTGTTAAATGTTGTTTTATTGTAGGAAGATATAAATTGTTATTTGACTTATTGCTTGGTCCCCCCCTGTAGTGTATCAGGTCTTGGAAAGTCTTAACATGAAGTTATTTTTGAAGTTAAATTTGTTCAAATGAAAACAAATTTGCAGATGAAGTTGAAACAGGTAAAGTTGAAATCTGATTGACGTCCGTGAAAAAATGGTTTGCTTGTTAACATTATGGACATGGTTGTTTGCCATTAGAGTGATCTGAAGTCTTCATTTCTCTCTTTGTCGTGATGAAAATTAAAGCTTTTGAAATTTCTTGCAGAGAATGTCCTATTCCATATTGTAGTGGTTTGACACCACACTGCCAAATGCCAGGCACTCTCCAAAGCTGTTCACTCACCCTTCCCAGCTACAGCTGGGCAGTGGAGAGAAGGTTTAACAAAGGGTTCATGAGTTGAGATACGGACTGTGAGAAAACACTCCAAGGGCAAAACAGACTCAGCTTAAAGTGAATTTATTACTAAAAATAAATCAAAAATCAGAGCAGGATAATGAGAAGTAAAATAAGCCCTTAAAAACACCTTTTTTTCCCCAGCCTCTCCCTCCTTCCCACTGACAGTGCGGGGAGACAAAGTGTGGGCGTTTTGGTCAGTTCTTCACCCAGGGTTTTCCCCGGCTGCTTGGGGACAGAAGCTGTTCCTCGGTGAGACTGAGCAGTCCCTCCCATGTGAGACAGTTCTCCATTAACTTCTTCAGCATGGCTACAATCTCTTGAGCAGCAATCCTACCAAAACTGCTGCAATGTGAGTCATTCCCATGGGCAAAACATGCTCCCAAAACTACTGTGGCATGGATTATTCTTCTGTGGGGTGCAATCCTCCAAGGACAGGCTGTTCAACTTGGAACCAATACCTGTCTCTCTGGGTCTCCCGCTGGACCACTGCTTCCTGCAGGCATCCATCCACTCTGGCATGAGCACGTCCCCCACGGGCTGTGGGTGGATCTCTGCATCCATCGTGGATCCATGGGCTGCGGGGGCACAGCTGCTTCACCATGGTCCTCATCTTCTCCACTGACCTCAGTATCTCTGTGTTTTTTCCATAATATGTTCTCACCTCCTACGCTTTCCTGGCTTGAATTGAAACTGTACCCACAACTTTTGTTTTGATTTTTTTCCTGGATATGTTAACACAGAAGCATTACAACCATCTCTAATTGGCCCAGGCTTGGCCAGTGGCGCATCCATCTGCAGAGCCATCATAGATTGGCTCTAATGGATATCATGGGAGCTTCTGGCAGTTTCTTAGAGAAGTCACCTTCGTGTCCCCTCTGCTACTAAAAACCAGGCTGTGCAAAACCAATACACACATTAAAATGCTTGAATCATCTTGTGATTTCCTTACCTTCTTCCTAAAGTATCACTGTTCCAAACTTCTTCAGCTGTCTCCACAAACTAGGAGGTCTGTTGGTAGCTGTTAGGGGAATATGACTATTTAAAGACAACTGAGGTCTTGTTTTTGAGCTATTTATTCTGGGACAAATAGATCATTTATTAACCTCCATGCCCCAGCAGAATGAAAATTTTGTTTTGAGTTAGGATGCCCAGGCTCTTTCTTGGCTGTGCAATATTATCTTACTTTAGAAGGATTATGCCAGAGCTTGAAGGTCAATCCATAAGGAGATTGCTGAAGGCATATTGAGAGGGAAATGTCTTTCAGGATTTCTCTCTGCTGCTCAGCATTGATCTGTCCTGCAAAAGGAGGAATACAAACTTCTTAAAGCACCTGTATCTCTGCAGTCAGCTCTGATGCCTGGTTTGGTGTTATCCATCTGAACACATGCAGAAGTAACTCTTATCCCCTAGGTGTCAGACACAGAGTTCTAACGTTTGTTGCATATTACCCAGCAAAATGAGGCTGGGTTAAATATTTTTACACAGAAGTGTAATGTAATAAAATTAAGAAAATTAATAAGTGAAGAAACAATTTTGTTCTGCAATAAGCAGCAGTTCCTTCAAGGTGTAGTTCTACAGGTTTACGTTATGTTGACCCAGGCCTATAAATTTCCAGAACCTTCCATACAGTCATTTTCTATTGAGGACAGCAGGTTTTGTTTCTAGTACCAAACACTGAGGTCTGGCAGATGCACTGATTCTGGAACTCTTCCTTGTATTTCCTGAGCTTCCACTGAGTTTGGTTCAAACACCTGAAGTCTTCTAGTCTCTTGTATCATGTTTGTTCAGTATTAGTTTAACAAAGTGCTTAATCTGAAACTGCAGTTTGGTCTATCTTCACGTGAAAATGTTTTCACATTGTTTAAATTTGAAAATCCCAATACAGCAAAAGTTCTGAGTAGTTAAAAGAATCCAAGAAAATAATGCCTTTTCCTTGTTCAATAAGGACTTTCAGTTCTGTGTAGTAAGATAGGTGCTGGTCAGAAGTGTGATTCAGCTCTACGCTTTAATGTTGTCTGGGGTAATTTTAAGAGAAGAAGAATATATGAAAACACTACAAGTCTGAGAAGATGATGTGCTGTGGACTTCTCAGGCATTTCCAAAAATCATACAACATCACTAAGCAACGTCTTTGTATTTATGAATGTGTTAGTAAGTCTAATAAATGTGTATATTTAAATAAAGTTATTTTTTAAATAGCTTTGGTGTGGTGTGAAGAAACTGTTATATTCTGTACTATTACTTAAGGCATATTAGCACAGTATTCTGTATTTTAGATGTTTGAGATCACTTTTAAGAGCTAATTAAATTGTATAATATTTTTATATTTAAAGAAATCCATTTCTATTTGTTTTTCAAAATATTATTCACAAAAAAGTAACCTGGATTATACTGACTTTTCCCTTTTTCAAATGGAAGATGTTTTCTGAGTGACTATGTCTGGTAATCTCAGAATTTGCCATTTGTATCGGAAAAAGTAGTCCAAAATTACATGATTAGTGATAAATAAGTCAATAAACTTCCCATATGTAAACATGGAAGGAATTTTTAAAAATATTTTACTCTGCTGCTTTTTTTTTTTGATGGAGTTATGAATTTCAGGAACTTTGCTATTACAGGTAGCATCGATTGCAGATGAAGCTGCACATTCAGAAGTGATAACTGATTCTCAAAAACGTAGGGAAATACTTTCAAGAAGGCCTTCATACCGGTAAGGACTTTTAATCCTTAGCTGTATAAATCTGCTGTAAAGGCAGCTTATTTATTACAGCAAAACTGTCTGATAAATTTATTTGATTTTCTTATGGGTATAGATTCTTAAGTACATAAAATTACTTACATTCTTTTTTTAGAAAAATTTTGAATGAGCTCTCTTCAGATGCTCCTGCAGTATCGAAGATTGAAGAAGAAGAGAAGTCAGAAGATGAAGGAACGCCTTCTGGTATTTCTGCAATGGCCATGCCAACCAGCCTGTATCATACTAACACAGGGCAATACCGTATGTTTGAAAAGTACTTTGTGATAATGCAGAACATGCATAGCACAGCTTTGTTTCTAGGAGTTTTATAATGCAGTAGGGTTGTTTGATTTTGATGAAGAAGAACAAGAGATTCTGTATTTCTAAGTAATTACTATTAATTTTTTCTAACATGGGGATTATAGACTTGTAGTCTCTTTCTTGTTGTATTTGTTGGCTTCTATATTTAGTCTTTCTAGAGCTTCTCTGCATTAAAATGTGGAGGTGAGGCTCAGCTGAAATGAAAAATGTAAATGGTTTATAATACTAATCATTGCAGTTTCAAATTCTTGTGATTTGCTGTGTATTAGTGCTATTAATTATATGAAATGGCAAGTAGAGTTTTTTGAAATACAAGATTGGAGTATGAATTTACTTAAGTTCCAATTTTCTTTTTTAAAAGGACTATGTCTTTTTGTCACTAGTTTTTAAGTTTCCAACATTTGATACATCATCCAAATGCAAGTTAAAAGTTACACTCGCAGTTCTGTTCTACAGATTTGCTTTTGGATATTTTTATTCCTGCATTTATAGTAGAAGTGTTGCGTAACTTGCACTCTGTGTCTTCTTTGGACATAATCAGATAATCAGTTATCAGTTTGGATAACTTTTTAATAGCAACTGTTTTTAAAATTATGTATTTTATAAAGCTTCAAAAGAGGATAGAATGGCTCTAGTTGTGTTCTATTCACCCTTAGAAATCTTCAGTTATTTTTAATTTATGCAACTAAGCTAATTATTAATGGTAAGAAGACAGAATTTGCCTATAGTATCTATCCTTTCGACATAGAAAGTAATTTTGCTTGTGCCCCTAGGCTGCTTTTCTTACCCTTTCTGTAAGCTATAGACATAAATCTTTCTGTAAGCTATAGACATAAATAAATGTTTGCTGTGTGATGTCCAGCATCTGAGGTGTTCTTTTCTGTGGAAAAGAATATGGTCATCCTAAATTACAGCTGTCCAGTACAGAGTCTGGCATGTGTTCATGTATTCTTGTATTCTAAGAAAAAATACATGTTTTTCTTCAATTTTTGAATTTTTTAAAAATTTTGCTTAGGTTCAACTAAGAATATATATACTTGCCATTTCAAGGTTTTAAGTGTTATAATGCCTGTGTATTATCTAGTGAGCCTATAAACCTGTAGGATTTCTAAGAAATTTTAGAGCTTAGGTTTAATGGTAGCTTCCTCTGAGAAGCCAGAGATGTGCTTTGACTGCAGTGTCTTGCAGGATAATTCTTAGGGGAATATATTTTCATTTGAAACACCTATAAACAATCATGACAGGGAAGTGTTTAGGTGAATAAAAAAATTAAGGGGTTTTGCTTTCTTATTCAATCAGACATTTACTTCTGAAAACCAAGCAACAGAATATCATTGACAATATGAGAACAATCCACAAAAAATTAATTAAATCTCATGTGTCTTAATTTAATCTTGGCTATAAGCCAAGCTTGGAAGATTTCTGTTCTTTGCTGCTTTTTCTTTAAGTTATAGTTGTAGCCTAAAATGTATGCTGTATAATTAACGTTCTCATCATAATGGGGCATTGCTTCAAAATGCAATGTCAGCCTTCAGGGACTTTCTTGGTTTTGGCTCAAAAACTTTGTCTTGAGATATTTTTCTTCTTGGAAATAGTTTTTCTTGCTGAATTTATTAGTTGATTAATTTGATTTTTTTATTTTAAGTTCATTTTCTTAAGTTAAAATATTTTTTGCCTCAGCAAAATCTGTGTATTTTACTTCTGCTTAGGCCAGGTGGTAGCAAGGATGGTGATTTCCTTGTAATAGAGGGGGTCTTAATTCGGAACTTACTGAAGAGAGCTTGACTGTTGACCCCTAGTCTTTACATGTATGAAGCACAGTTCTGAAGCATTTCTGAGTCATCCTGTTGGTTGCCTGTGATCCTCAGGAACTGCTGTTAGCTAAAACCAGGAGCACTGGGTGAGCAATGTAGCTACTCCAGTGTTGATTTGAGACTGTGTATGATGTGGAGGGTCACTCCATGTACCTCCTTCATCTTTACGCCTCCTGTCAGTTGCTCTGTGCTTCTGCCTGTGCCTGAGGACCCTTCTCTCCCTGGCCAGAATGGGCTGCACAGGTTCTCCTGTGCCCACACCCAGTAGTTTATGCATTAAGCTTGTCCAGTGTTCATGGAAGAACTGGCCTTGTGGTATCACTGTGGCCATCTGTACTATGCCCTGGTTTAAAAGAAGTGTTTGTTACTACATTTGCTGGTTTCTTTTTTTCTCTGCTTTTCTCTCTATTCCTGCAAAGGAAAGGCAGTTTAGTTGAGAAGATTATTTTGACTGGATGTGTCTGGATGTCTGGGATGACTCTTTATGGAAGAACTTGATAAGTAAATTTTTCTGGAAAACAAATGTATTTTTGTCTATTAGCAGCATTGATGGCTGTTCTCTACTTTCTTTTCACCAGCCAAAATGGTATGTTGCCATGGTTTCCAAATATCTTTTTCCTTGGAACTTCTTGGCTTATGGAAGCAGACAGACTGACATGACCAGATAAAATGTCTTTGCCAGCTACCTCCATCAACATATGTGTGATTTTTCTGTCAGGGAAATGGGTAGTTTTGCACAAGGTGCTGTCTTGTGTAGGAGCCTTGTATTCTCATCTGACTACACACCTACTCTGTTGGCTGTAGTTCTGTCATGTTGGTTTAATTTAATACTGAACAAAATTATTAGTTCCTCACCTGTGTTAGTGGTCTAATGTGCAAGAGTTGTTCATTCAGTTGGAGTGCGTGAATCAGCTTTCCCATCCCCCTGCTTCCTTGTGCATATCATGATGATCTGCATGAAAAAAATGCAGGGGGAGTGAAAATTATTGATCTTTCACTATTTTTTGGGTTACTTGCTGTCTTAGAACAGACTTTTAACAATTGGAGAATTAAGAAATCTTTTGGGATAGACTAACTTTAGTTCCATATCCAGTTTTGGAAGGGAAAAAGACCTGTTTTTGTTTTGGTTTTTTTTCTGGATTAGAGCTGATGATCATACTCAGAGAGTGGTATTAGTACTGTCTTCTAGCTGGAAGAGAAGATGCCACTTGCATCCGTCCACCTACATGACATTCAGCTACAGGGACTGTCCAGGAAAGTCCTGTATTCATCATAAAAGACCCAGATTTCAGCAGAGCTCCAGCACAACAAAGTGTGTGCAGTGCTTAAGATCAGGACAGTGAATCGGGGGATGGGCAGAGAATTGTTCTGGGAATGTGGCAGCAATCAGTCCTATAAGGGAAGCAGTTACTGGAGTTAATTCACTTTTGTTTATAAAGCACTGGATTGGAATCTGAATGAATAATTGCAGGGCAGCTGTGACATAATTGTTTACCCAGGTTCACTGTGGAGCCAAGAGCTTTTTATCAGTCTGTGCTGATATTTTACTTCTTAGGAAGCCAAACTGACTGGGGTTTATGTGGTGTGGTTCTGTGATGCTGTAGATCTACCATTCCTGGTGCTAACTCTGAGAGGCAGAATTTGGCTCTTTGTAGCTTCTCTGGGAGGTAGAGTTGACAAACCTTGTTACTCTTGTCCTGGACTTTGTGAAGAGTAGAGGATACAATGCTTTACTTTTCTTCTTCTCTCTCTTTCCTGCCCTAAAATGGGCACTCTGTGCTTCGCAGGCTAGACTGAAACATCTTGCAGTCTACAGCCTGCCACACTCTTCCCCTTCTCAATGCCTTATGGAGCCTATGGGCAGCACCCAACTAATTCCTATGTTACATTCTTTGTTTCAAAGGCAGGACTGGAGGTCCATGCTGAACCCTGTTTCAGTATTGCAGATAAGGCTCTGAACTTAATTTAGCATGAGAGAAATTCCATGTTTTCCCTGAAAGAAGCTAATTCAGCTGTTAGGATTTGGCAACCTCAGTTTCTTTCAAGTGTTTATATCTGAAATTGAACTTTAGAGATAACCTCTTGTTGTCAGAACATTAGAAATCAGCAATCTCTAAAATTCACATAGGTATCTAACAAATCCTGTATTGAGATAAGCAGAGCTGAACCTTCAAAAATGGCATCAAATACTGTAATCTGACAATGAATTCAGAGGAGTTGGCAAGACGGAATCTTTTTTTTATGTCTGACTTTTGTAATCTCAGATCACTTTAAGTACACTCATAGTTCATTGTTTAAATACCTTTTGGGGGACAAAGGAGTTTTTACTTCTTGGAAATGGGGCTCTCAGCTATAAGTTTCAAGATTGTTTTAATTAACATAGGACATAGGACATATGGATTGGGCTGGTGAATCACTTGATAGATAAGGAATTGGCTCAAAGAGCTCCTGGTGGAGGCCAGTGATGAGTAGTGTCCTTCAGAGATCTGGTTTGGGACCAGTATTTACCGGAGATCTGGAAGGTGGGGTTGAGTGCACCTTCAGAAAGTTTGCAGGTGACCAGGCTTAATAATACAGTTGATACTCAAAGATCAATAGAGAGAAGGGATCCCATCCAAAGGGAGTCTGACAGAGTAGAGAGGTGGACTCATGCAAATTTCATCATAAGGCCAAGTGCAAGGTCCTGTGTATGGGTTGTGGCAATCCTAAATGTGGATACAGGCTGAGCAATGAGTGGACTGAGAAGATTTGGATGTGCTGGTAGCTGAAACACTAGGTATGAGCTGGCAATGTGTGCTTGCAGCCCAGAAAGCCAGCCAGATCTTAGGCTGCATCTAGAGCAGTGTCGGCAGCAGATCGAGGGGTGGGATTCTGCCCCTCTGCTCTGGTAAGACCCCACCTGGAGTGCTGCATCCAGGTCTTGAGTTTCCAGCACAAGACAGACATGGACATCCTTGAGAAGATCCAGAGGGGGGCCATGATGATTATCAGAGGCTGGAGGCCTTTCCTATGAAGACAGATTGACAGGTTTGGGATTAATTAGCCTGGAAGAAAGAAGGCTCTTGAGAGACCTTGCAGTAGCCTTCCAGTACTTCCAGGGGGCCTACAGAAAAGATAGGGAGATAAAGATATGCTCTTTATCAGGAAGCATAACGATAGGATGAGGGGCAGCAGCTTTAGAGAGGATAGATGTATCTTAGTTTAGATATTAGGATGAAATCTTCACTTTGAGGGTGGCAAGGCACTGAAGCAGGTTGCCCAGAAAAGCTGTGGATGCCCCATCCCAGGAAGTGTTCAAGGCCAGGTTGGATGGGGAAGCTCTGAGCAACGTGATCTAGTGGAAGGTGCCTCTGCCCATGGCAGGGGAATTAGAGGTACATAATCTTGAAGGTTCCTTCCAACTTGAGGACTATTCTATGACTGAAGATATTTCTGTGTTTAACAAAGGCAATGCTAACTTCAAAAGGAATATACAATTAATAATGTTTCTAGGGAATTGGATTTTTATAAATACTCGATTATAGCAAGAATGCAGTATGATTTTTTTAATGGGGAAAGTATATTTGTTTTTTTCATATTGCTACTATATTGAAGGAAGAACCCCACTTTGTTCTCTTTCTCTTTTTACATGAGGATTGGACTCCATACAACTGTGTACAACCTGGTTAAATGTGCTAAAATTCTTCTTACACTAAGGAAAGGGTTGTTACTGTTAGCCAACTTTCTCTTCCTTTGTCTTGGTGTCCTGATTTTTGTTTTGTGAAAGTCAATAAACAGCTTTTTTAAATATTTTTTAAAAAATAACTTCTGTATTAGTATTTTAAACAACACTTTTATATGGCTAGGAGCTATTATTTTTTTTCCCCCTGATCTTTAAACTATTTTAGTAGAGTTAATATTTCTGGAAACAGAGATAAAATGTGTTGAACCCTGCTTTTTATCTGTTATATGCATGGCATATACTACACAACAGGCTTTATATTTGTGGAAGTCAGTATTATTATTACCTAGGTTTTATTATACAATTGATCCTTAAGCAAGGAGAGGAACAGCAGAGAGGAACTGTAAGACAATGTTTATTTCATATTCTTTAGAATGTGTTACATGTTTCTATTGCCTAACTATTTTTTACTTTTTTTCTTTTCTTTTTTTTCTATTTAGTTACCATATCTCAAGGTGGTACAATTCAGACTCTGACAAATTCAGGAGCTCCTCAGCCAGGCGCTACCATTGTGCAATATGCAGCACAGTCATCTGATGGCACGCAACAATTTTTTGTTCCTGGAAGCCAAGTTGTTGTTCAAGGTATATTTTGTTTGTCTACTTCATTTTTGGTTTTTTCATATTAAACAATTTTTCTTAAAAGATTTCTTATTTTGTTTGTAGTATTGCACTATTTGTAATAGTATTGCATTATTAATTAAAATACTCATAGCAAGATGAAAGAGGCTTAGGAAGGGATTCATGTTCTCTGCTTAGTAAGACAGCTACTATGTTTGGTTAAAAAAAATGAAATAGCAGTATAACATCACTTGCTGATTTGGATTTTCTTGTCCAGATTTTGAGACAAGTTTAATTGGAATAAAGATACTCTTACAGATTGAAGTGAGTAGCATCTCACTTCAGGTGTGAAGGTGCACATCATTTAATATATTAAAATAATTTGGTTTTTTTCAGCAGCTAATGTTAATACAACACAAATTCTGAAGATTTTGGGATATGTTTAGGGCAGAATTTCCTTGCAACTTACAGCTCTTGCAGTTACTAGAAAGCACATCTTTTACTGAAGCTAGTTTTCTCGCAGAGGAACACTTTGTTGGTCCTACAAAGTGCACACATGATGTGATGAAAACCTTTGAAAATCTGAGAGAGATTTCTCTATAGAGACACTAAATTAATAGCTGTGGAGGATATACAGAATATAAAAAGAAATTATTTTATTGACACAGAGAAGTATGGCGGGCTGTATGGATACTTTCTTTAGCCAAAACAGCTATCTGAAATAAGCCATGAGAAGAGCTAGAAAGGATTTAGATATGTGTTCATGGAGTGGATGAGGGTCATCAAATAAATGCTGAAATGCATTATTGTCCCAAGACTTCCCAGAAGCATTTCAAGTGCTTTAAGACTGTAAAATGAAAACACCTTTGCCAAATGTTAGTTTTTATTGTTTGGAGTATTGTTACAAATTCCCTAAATGTCATTATGAATACATTCTTAACAAAGCCTTAAGACCCAAATTTGGCTGTCCCCCAAACCAATTTCCCACTCTAGTACTGCATGTTTTTCTGAGTATGAGTCTAATGCATTTTCTCTGTGTGTGCCTACACATCCCTTCAATCAGAGGCCGCCTCCATCTCTCCAGGTTGACTGTTGTATTTTATAGGTATTGCTTTCATTATTCAGAGCTTTGGCATCAGGGGCAGAAAGAATAACTCCTCAACTGCTTCCTAAAACTTCCCAAGTCTGTGAAGAAGCACAGCATTTGAGGATTTTATCTGGCATCATTTCCATCCTTGGGAATTCCATTTGACTGACTTTCCTTTACAGACTCTCCATTACAGAACTGTTCTCTGGCCAGGCTACTCAGTCCCAGCAATAAGGCTCCACAAGATGGAATTGCCCATTAAGTGTTTTGCCTGGGATGGAAACTTTGTAAATGGATTCAGAGGCAGTTACTGAATACCTTTTTTATCATGTTTCTGGAAGCATCTACATATTTTTAACTAATTGATTTGTTTTCTGCCCATGCTTAGAGAAGTTTATTTCCTGGAATTCTCCATTCCTTTGGTTCAATTTCCACTGCTTTAGTGAGCCTTATAGCAGTTAAACCAGAAGAAAAATGTAACATAACATATACGGGGAAAAGTACAAAGCAAACAGTAAGTGAGCATGAACTTGGAGATGATAAGATAAAAGGCTTCAACTTATTCTACATGCTATTGATATTAGAAAATCTGTAGAAAAAACAAAACATGTAGTAAAAAAGAAATGTATAAAAATCGTATGAAAGCACTTGAAGTTGTTTTTAGTAATACAACTGTATGTAGGCAGCAAACCTGAGTTAATCACGATGGAGTGAGGCAATGGAATAAGTTGAATATTCAAGTGCCTGAAATGTCCTTACTACAGGTCATCTTGTCTGTGCTAGAAAGTCTGTTGGAATACAGGTTATAAACATTTGTCATTTATGTACACTTTGTAGTTGACTGTTCACATAATATTGTGATAGCATATATTATAATAGAAAATTTTTTCTGCTTAGTAATCTTAACACTTGTATATGTATTTTTATGATGATTTTGGGTAGTCAGCATATATATATATGTATTTTAATCACAGAAGAATAAAAAAATGTAACAAATACCTGGAAACAGAAAAGATCTGTTTCAGATACTATTTCAGAACCTTTCAGATAGCATTATGTATTGATATTTTTTTCTAAAGTATTTCTTAATGAATCTCATGTAATAATGGATAAGATCACATAAATAAACCCTGTGCTTAGTATTTTCTGATAACCTGTGGTGTGGAAAAATGTTAGGATAAAAGTGCCAAGTGTATTGATCCAATTGAGTGACATTATATTTGCTACAAGTTTACATTTGTTGGCAAAATAAGAGGCAGTTCTAGTGTTTGGGCAGTTTCCTAGTACATTAAAGGTTAAGGATTTTTTTGGTAGCTGAAGAAGGAAGTGTTGGACTGTTAGTCAAAGTGAATGTAGAAAAGTTATATAAAAAAATGATTCTGTTGGGATCTGTGTGTGGTTTCGTTATATTGTTAGTGATATTTGAAATCTGTGGCTTTAATTTCTTGTGCTTTAGTTCTGATCTTCTGTACATATCATCCTGAAGTGGTCTAGTAATCACAGGACACTCCTGTAAACACAGGATGTAAAACACAAAATATCAGTGCAAACATTGAAGCTTCCACTGCTGCCATCCAGCACAGTTTCACAGTTTGTAAATTACCAGTCTGAATTTATTACAAAGACCTTAGAAGTTTGCTGTGCCCTACATACAAACCAGACTCCTGGTCTGAAACTAATTTCATTTGCATTGATGCACAGGAGGAGTAACTCTCTTACAGCTGAATTGCTTTTTTTTTTTTTTTTTTTTTAAAATTTGTATTTTAAAACTAAGTCAACTAGATCTCTTGGGCATATTTTGAAAAGAGAGGGAAGGGGGAAGAGGTAGTCTCTACCCAGAGTTACTGTTCTGCTTGTTACAGAATCTGAAATCACTGGTATTAGGTTGACTTACTTTGTTGGAGTGTTCCTTAATAATTTCTGAACCTTTTAACTGAAATTAAATGAGTGGGTTGTGGGTTTTCCTGCAACACAAGGAGCTCTAGCCTTTCATTTACCTATTTGTTATAGCTTATTAAGCTTTCCTGCCTTACATGTCTGTCCAACACAGTTCTCTGCCTTTTAGTAGAACTGTTCCAATGAAAACAGCTGCATGTCTGTTTTAAATTGCCTTATTTTCTATCCAATCATGACTTTATCATTTGGATTCATTCATGAATGCTAGAGCCACGTTTTAATTTCTGTCAGTCAGTGCTGGGATTTTCCAGGTCTTTCTTAACAGCCTGCTTTGTGGTGCTTTCTCTAGCTTTATGAATAATTCAGGGGAAAAGAACAAAGCTAGGATTATAGCAATATGGAAGAGGAAAAAAAAAAGCAGGTTTACTGGAAAAGGAATTCTTTGGACTGCAGTTTTAGTGAGCTGTTCCAGTGATGGAGCATGTTAATGACAGTGGTAAGCAAGTGAGGTCATTGTGATGTCAGTGCTCTTGCTTGTAATCCCGCACATGCTTGGTAGTTTGGAACAGTTCATGCTGAGCTCTGGTAGAGGAACAGCAGAATCGTGTGTGCAGAAGTTGATCATGGCTGTAACAGGAGATGAAACAGGTAAAAATTTTGTTAGCCTTTGACATGGTATTTTTGTATATCTGTGCAGTGCTTAATTAGTATTTGTGACATTTTCTTTTGAACCTGTTGCTGTAATTCTTTTATCTCTCTAACGGCATACAAATAGCTTCTAATTCTATCTAGTTAGTGTAGTATTCCAGGGGAATTTTAACAGTTTCATTTGAGGGGGGAAAAAAAAATCACTGTTAATGCATGAGTTCTTGCACAGATTGATTCAGTAACTGTTCTTTATTATTTCATGCAGGATTTTGCTGAAAACAATCCACCACTCTACTTTTGCATTTTTCTTTATTGTAGCGATAGTCATATGTTACTGTGTTTATAATTGCTTTTTGTTTTGTAAAAATGACAACTGCCCTTTTTATTAAGCAGTAGACGCTACAAATTTGATAGCCGTGGGCTTATTCCTAGCTGTATAGAAATTGTTCCAGCAGTGCAATTCAACCCTGTGCTTCCATTATTAAAAAAACACTGAATGGAAACAAATTTGAGGGTAATAATTGAAGTATTGTAATGCCTGCTTGTTTTCTCCTCCGCTGTTAAAATGGTCTGTTCCTCGGCTAATTGAGTTCAAAAGGCTGACGTCATTAGATTTCCTGGAATCGTGTTGCAGTAGGGAACTGGAAAAGTTAAACTCCAAACAAGATACACATTGACGTCAGCTCCAAGTCATGCTGCGAATTTAGTCAGTTCCTTTCTGCCTCGTCAATTGCCTCCGGCAGCTTGGTAACATTAACTACTTCCCTGCCGGCTCCTACGTGCTGCTGCTCAGTGCTGGCGCACGTTGTTTCATTAATCCAAAGATAAATATCTTCTCCAGGTCGATGTTTTTAATGCTCAGAGGGATAATGATTCATGCGTTGTGTAGCCAGTTTAGTGGTGAAATTAAAAACCCTTTGATAATCAAGTCCCACTGTTATGACTCACAGAGGGGGAGAATAGGCATCCAAATACATCGGGCATTTTTTTCTCCTGGGTAGTCACTGAAAGGGTGCAGGGATGCTCTCTAGTGTTCAGCAAGTTACTTCTTTTAGTTGGTTGCTTTTTTATTTGTTTAAAACGAAGGTTGGTTTTTTTTCACTAGCTGTCTTTTGGCTTTCTTCATTTTCTTTTTGTAAGTCTCAACTAAAAGCTTCAGTTTTTCAGTGACTTTTTATTCCCTTGCATTTTAAGGAGTCAAAAAAAAAAAAAAATTACCTGGGGCAATGTGTTAGGGAAATGCACCAACTCCCGGTTTGTTAATATTCTCAGTTCTGCTTCTTGTACCTTAGGAATTACATTAAACCTTTGTGAAGTGTCATTAGAAACAGCCACAGAAGTTTGTCAGTCTGGATGAAGTATGTGTGACATTTGTCTCAGATGCTGAAATGGAAGATATGCTTCACTGTAATATAGATCCATAACTAGGCTTAAAATAACTTTGATATAAAGTAAGTCTGTTCCACTCTGTTTAAAGCCTGTTTCATCTTTCCAAAGGTCTTTTTCTGGGGAAATCAGTTACATTGTAATTTCTTCAGATAATATACAAAACATTTTTCAGTCTTTGAAATATTTTTTGCAATGGTATATCATTAAGCATATATTATTGCACAGGTAAAAGATACTTTGTCAGTGCTATGCTTTTTTCTTGTTTCTAAACAGTGGTGTCTGGATTTGTAAGGTCTGTACCACCAGAATAGTTATTTATCTGTGTTCCTATGCTGGCAGGTTTATAAGTAAGACAACAGACAGAGACTGCCACCACTGGGACCTGCTCAGACTAGAATACTTACCAATGGTGTTTGCTGATCCCTGCTGAGATAGGGACTGGATTTTGTTTAGTCTTGCTGGAGGTACGTGATCACATTGAGTCTTCTGCACAAAAGCTGCAGTAAGTCCTGTTTGCTGCCGTCTGAACATAATTCAGACACAAACAGCAAAGTGGTTGGTCTTGCCATCTGAGGTGATCTGGGTTGTGGAGCTTTCCCCATGATCTGATCTACAAAATGGTTTTGCTTGGATTTCTAGTTGTTTGTAGATAAGGCAAACAAAGATAACATCTCTTTAATACCTAGTGATGAGATATAAAAAGGTAGCTCTTACCATGGAGTCTGTAAAATATATGTAATGTGGCCAGCTTAAAGGTGAGCCTGAAGAGCTGCTAAAATTCTATTTATATAGTTAGTGAGCTGAGGTGTCATTCTATTGATGTGATTGGGACTGCTAAGAAATGTGGAGGACTTAAAGGGTTAAGCAATTCTTCTGTAGATGTACAAGATGACCAAGCCCTGTGTTCATGGCAGCTGCCTGTCAGTGCTCACAGGACTGTTCTGGGCTGATTTCTCCCTCCCTCCACATCCCCAGGGGATTATCCAGGTCAGTTCACTGGTCCAGTTCATCTTGTAATTCCACAAACACTTTTACCCACAGGACTGAGGCAGGGGGAGGTGCATGGGATTTAAGCTGATAATGATTTCAGGACATGGCTGTGGAATTGTAGTCTAAACACAACTTGATTCTGTTTCTCTGTTTTGAATTAATGAAGCACTTGCATTGATATAGTAAGAACAATAGTATATTTTTATTGTTTAATTTTTTCCCCTCTGTAGTTAACTGATGTTTCTTAACAGCTCAACCTGTCAGCCTGCCCAAGATGTTTTTGTCTACATTTTATTTTTCCAGGTTGTCCTAGTGTCAGTCGGAATAGAGTTAATTTTCTTCCTATTAGCTGGTATATTATTAGTGCTGTGTTTTGGTTTTAGGCTGAGAGAGATGTTGATAGCATACTCTTGGTTTGGTTGTTGCTCAGCAGTACTTGCACTAAGTCCAGCTTCTCATGCTCTGCCAGTGAGTAGGCTGGGGGTGCACACAAAGCTGTGAGGGATCACAGTCAGAACAGATGACCCCAGATAGCCAAAGGGATATTCCATACCATAAGGCATCATGCTCAGCATATAAACTGTGGCCTGGGGCCTGCTGCTCAGCCACAGGCTGGGAATCAGTTGGTGAGTGGTGAACAATTGCTTTTATTTTGTGTCAGTTATTTTTCTTGTTTTTATTTATCTTTATTTTTATTATTTTCCTTTTCATTACATTTATTATTTTATTTTATTTTCATTAAACTGTTCCCATCTCAGCCTGTGAATTCTTACCTCATCCTACATTGGGAGCTGTGTGGGTGGAGTGAACAAGTGACTGTGTGATGCTTAGTTGCAGGCTGGGGTTAAACTGTGAGACATGTTTTTCCATTATTTGAATAATGCTTTAAAGAATTGAAGTATAAACTAAGTGTAACATAATAGCCTCTGAAACATCACCTGTATACTTTAGCTATATACTTTTAGCTTTAATGACAAAATTTGAAGTTTTGTTCTATCATAATACAAAATATTTGTGGAAAGGAATAGGTAAATACTTGCTTATAATGTAAAGAGGAATGTATTTTTTGTTTGCTTTTGTTTTCTGTCAGACAAGACAAAAGTATTTAGGATTTCCCCAGTGTTTTTAAGTTGAGGTACATCACATAGGGGATGAGTACGTCTGAAACAAAGAAATGACGTGAGACTGCCAGAAAGGTGTTGGTTTCAAGTCACATCAGATCAGCATTTAGCTTGGGGAGAGCACAAAACTGCTAAGCTCAGGAGCTGGATCTGAACTTGCATGTACATCCTGAGCATTTTACATTGCAGCTACAGCAGCTCTTACTCCTTATCCAAGAGTTCCCAAATGGGTGTTGTGAGAGGAGGAGAGGCTGTAGGCTGGTACTGCTGCTATCACAAGGAAGAAGGAAAGAGTTGTCTTCTGAAGCAAATTAAGTCCTGTACAGGTTACATGCTACTGAGGGTAGCATGTAACCCTCTTTTTGGGATTCTGCAAACAGGAAATAAGTGTGACTGCTTGAAATGTTTCTCAAACTGCTTTCCCCATGTTACCTGAAGAGAGCCATGTGAAAGCTTTCAGTCTGGCTGGCTAGTGGGGTCATATGCTAGAGCAATTCAGATACTTTACAGTCTGGAAATAAACTTAATTAAGATTTAAAATATAGTTGTGTCATTACAGACCTGTGAAATAATTTACGTATCTGAGAACCTGGATAAATCATTCTCAGAAATCTGTTATTTGCAGATATACATTTTTTTTTGCCATACATTTTAAAATATGTTTCTTTTATACAGCTGCCACTGGAGACATGCCAGCTTACCAGATTCGAACTCCTACTACTACCTTGCCTCAGGGAGTGGTTATGGCAGCCTCACCAGGGACTTTGCATAGCCCTCAGCAAATGGCGGAAGAGGCAACACGCAAGAGAGAGCTGAGACTTTTGAAAAATAGGTAAGACTATATAATAATTCATAGTCAGTGTTGCAAACCACCCCCCCATGAACATTAGAGTGAAGTTTTCTTCCTAAGGTCATGAGCACTGCCTGTAATTGATGAAGGGAAGGCAGGAAATTGTCTGTCATCCCATGTCCTCTAGAATAGAGTATTGGCTGTTAACTCTGGAAGATTAGAGTTGACCTTATACCCATGGATTTTTAATTAGAAAGTATTAGGCGATTCAGAAATCAGTATCAGGTAATTTTTGTGATGACCTAGAGTTATACTTTTTGTTGAATTTTACTTCCTGTACTCTCCCACTACTGAGAGTAAAATGACCAGTAGGGTCATCAGTAGGGATTTTTTCATTTTAAAATATCCCAGCAATGAATTGGTTAGGAAAATAGCTGAGGATCTCATTAGCAGCTGTTCATTAATGATGCTCTGAAGAGGACTTATTCAAAGATGGAATGATAATTATAGACTTTCTTAAATACTTGGCTGCTGGGATGAGATACTTTGCAGTGCCAGGTCATTTTGTGAGTCATATTGTGCATTTTTTAATTAGCTGTCATGGACTTGACTGGCTGTTGTAAATGTCAGTCTTTCTCTGTGCATTCTTTTTGCTATTCTTAGGGGAGTCTGTCTTTTTTAAATGTGTAGCCACCTCTGTCATTGGCAGATTAATAGTAGAAATAGTTTGCTCTGCAGATCTCTAATCCACTGCTTAACCACTTGTCTTATGATTGAATTAATAGTATTGCTTTGCTCTCATGCCTGTCCTTTATTTTAAATTACTTACGAGGATCACTGCATTGTTGTGCCTCTTTTGTTTCTTCTCTCTTCAGTTTTAAAACTAGTGCCTATGCGATAGCTCATAATTTGCTGGAATTCACAGTTTGATAGTTTCATGTTCCAAGGTGGTAAAGGAGGACTCCCAAAACTTCTAATATTTCCTCTGGAATTAAATGCTTGTTTAGTCACACTAAACTTCTGAACACACTAGCCAAAGCGTTTAACTCCAAAATAAGAGACTTATAGCAGAACTACAAGAGTGGCTTCAGGATGTCATTTGCCAGCACAGGCTTATGTGGCTGACATGTGCTCAGGCAGCCAGTTCTGAAATGCTAATAAATTGTATTTGTTTGGGCTTAAGTTGTACTGTACATTGTTACAACATGCTGTAAATTTTTATCTTCATGTAAGCTTGGTATCTAGTTTTTTATCTGAAGAGAGTAGGGTTATGTTTGTGTTTTTTGAAAGTATATTCTCTGGGTTTGGTTTTAAGATTTTGATGGCAGAAGACAATGCTCCTGACAAACACACGAAGTAGAATGTGACTGGAAGAAGAAATGCTGCTTTCCATCCTAATGTTTAGTACAATTCAAGTCAATACATCATAATTTACTCCCGGTTTTTCTCAGTTCTTCTGTGTATTGGTTCCATCTTTGTATTTGGTGATGCTGGATGCGTTTCAAGTTCTAGATGTTTTGGATTATATTTTAACTTATGTTACTGCTTTTGGCTATTATCCGATGTTCTGTTTGTGCAATCCAGCTGGTGGTGGTGGTGGTTGTTGTTATTGTGGAACCACAGGGATTGCAGGTAATTGCATTTATCCAGTCTTTGCCATATTGTGGCTGTTCCTGTAGTCATTTGCCTTGTATTGGTTCCAGGGAAGCTGCCAGAGAATGTCGCAGAAAGAAGAAAGAATATGTCAAATGTCTTGAAAATCGTGTGGCTGTGCTTGAAAACCAAAACAAGACTCTCATTGAGGAACTCAAGGCCCTCAAAGATCTTTATTGTCATAAAGCAGAATAACTGTCTTTCATTTGGACCTCCTTTATTATGAACTTTAATCAAGGCATGAGAGGAAGCAATTCTACAGATTGCCATATGAACTTGAGAAAGAGACACTTGAGGCCCTTGTGGAACCCAGTTTTGCTTAGTGTTTTCAGACTGATTTGGGAGATATTCCAAAATTTGGAATTCTGTCATAGTCTCCATACTCTGCTGAGCTTTCTAATGGCATGCAAATGGCTTTTTTGTTTGCACTTTTTACTTCTGCTTTTTGCAGGGAAGCTGCTAAAGAATGTCGACGTCGGAAGAAAGAATACATAAAATGTCTGGAGAGTCGTGTTGCAGTGCTAGAAGTTCAGAACAAGAAACTTATACAGGAGCTTGAAACCCTAAAAGACATTTGTTCTTCCAAAACAGATTAGTAAAAATATTTATTATACTGTGAACTAAGATACGTCCAGTTGCTTTGTAAGACAATACATAGCCAACATGACTTATGGCTTTCTCTTTGTGTCATTTATAATATATTCCAACTCCTAACATTCCTGAATGCTTTCCTGCTTTTTGTCAGTTCATAGCTCTAATTTCAGGTTTTTCATACACCATCCTTCTGTCTCCCAAGGAGCCAAATGTTAAAAAATATAACGAAGTAAAAAAGTGCATAATTTCTAAGAGCTGTTTCTTTGCCATATATTTACGTACTACTTTCTACATGTTATTGAGTGTCCTGCACATTCAAACTATTTTGCAATTGTTTTAGATGAATCATAAAGATAATGCATCCAGTAATACAAGAAAATCAAACAACCCAAGGTATCTCAGGAAAGAGTTTATAAAGAATGTTATGATTATATGTATGTACTAGCATACTAGTCTACAGATGATTTTATGGCATATTTTTATATTAGTTGCTTTGTGGAAAAAAGTATTGTATTGCTGTCACTGAGTGCCATGGTTAAAGATAGTTTTTAATAGAACCATGTTGTTTAACCTGTGTAGTGTCTGATTTCCTTTAAAAATCTGGTTGAGTTGCTTTAAAATTCATGAGTATCTGAAAGAAGACAAAGGGAAAAAAGCACACCTAAGCTCATGACATGATGCTAAGTGTATTGTAAGTACCTGTAAAAAGCTCTCTGTTATATGGCTGCTATTTACTTAAATTTTCTGTAATCTGCAGAATATTTGATTCATTGGAGGTCTGTATATCAAAATTTAAAAGTTCATCCTGAATACTTCACATTTCAGATCCTGTACACCTGTGGATAGATGCCTGTAGTGAAGATTGATGGTTCAGTTCTTTTCACAATTTCAGCAAACTACTGAGTGGTGGTTAAAGTGTCCTAAAGAAGGAAGCTTTCCAATAAATAGTAACTATATTAACTATATAATTCACTGGGTTCTGGAGTAGCCTACAGATGAGAGCTGAAGATTTTTAAAATAAACTCATGTTTAAACCAGATTGCAGCTCTTGTAAATGCAGTATGTGCCAACTTTCCATTGTGCTTTGAAAAAACTAGTGCATATGCAAAGTTGCTTCTGGGTACTTTTTAAATTATGGAGTGACTTAATTGTTTGGCTAGTACAGTCTATGAGTAGAGTATTTGCTGGAACTAATAGCACCATTGCCTTACTGATGTGGTGGGAAGGAAGGCCTGGTTCCTACCTAATTGGCTTTACTGAGGGGTGTGTGTGAGAATGTGAGTGTGTGGAAGGGGAGGAGGGATGGAATCATATTGATGTCACTGAGACTTCCTGATTTAATTTAAGCTCAATTTGCATTTAACTCTCTTCACTCTGACCATGTTGGGGTGGGTTGATTTATGTATATGTTGTTTTCTTTTTTCCTAAATTACTTGAAATACACAGGATAATTTTCTCTATTTTGAAAATCTCACTAGGTACCTAAGTGAGACCATTTGTAAGAAGAGATGTTGTCTCTCACTTTCTGCAGCCACATCTGTTGTTTTAAGGCAGTAACAAGATGCCTCTGGCCTCTAAGTCTCTAGAACAAAAGTACAGTAAACTTTGAAATGCCTTCTTCACTGTGAAAATTCATCTGAAGTGCTAAGGTCAGCAGAAGTCAAAGGTTCTGTTCAGGTTGGACAGGATGAATGCAATCTGCAGGTGCGTGTTGCAGCCTCTGTAGTGCAACAAATAAGTTTGTTGTGGCTCTGTCACCAACGTCTGCTTTCTATTACAGGTAGGCATTGCTCCTGACTCGCAAGGGATTTGGAAACTTAAATAGAGAGAAATTTGTGTGTGGGGGGGGTATAGTATCTGGTTCTAACTGGTTAGAAATTTGGTAAGAGGAATCCTTGTCTATTCCACATCTGTGTAATTTATACTCATTTCTTTACTAGAAGAATCATAGAATGGTTTGGGTTGGAGGGAACCTTAAAGATCATCTAGTTGCAAACCCTTGTGCCATGGGCAGGGTTGCCACTAACTACTAAATTATGTAGCTTAGAGCTCCATCCAACCTGGCCTTGTATGCTTCCAGAGATGGGGCAAACCACATCTTCCCTGGTCACTTTGTTGAGTGCCAACCTCCGAGTAAAGAATTCATTCCTAATATCTAATGTGAATCTCTCCTCTTTTCTTTATAACCATTGCCCCTTGTCCTGTCATTGTCTACCTGTGTAAAAAGTTCTCTCCTTCTTTCCTGTAAACCTCCTGTAAGTACTGAAAGGCTCAGTGAGGTCTCCCTGGAGTTGTTTTTTTTTTCTCCAGGATGAAAAAAAAACCAAAAAACCCAGCCATCCCAGGATATTTTCATAGGAGAGGTGCTCCTGCCCTGTGATTATGTTTGTAGCTCTCCATCAAAGCTGCTCGAACAGGTCCATGGCTTTCCTGTGCTGGAGCCCCCAGAGCTGGATGCAGCACTGCAGGTGGGGTTCTACCAGAGCAGAGTAAAGAGGCAGAATCCTCCCCCTCACCTGCTGCCCACCCTGCTTTGGATGCAGCCAGGATGCACTCAGCCTTTGGGGCAGCAGGCACACTGAAGCAGAGTAAGGGGTGTGGTATAGGAAAAAGGCCATTTCAATAGAGTACTATTTTTTATATAGAAACATCAAGTGAATCTGAGTTGGTTTATTACAAGAGCATTTGAACACTGCCCAAGCTTTGATTTGGCAGAGTTAGGAATTTTGTTTTTTCATTATCAGGAATAAAGGCCAAAATAATTGTGTTTTTTTCCTTCCTGTTAGAAAACTGCATTTCTATGGTATGAACTCCTTTCTTGCTGAAACCACACAACTGCAAATTTCTTTAAGATAGACAGCTAGAGGATTGGCCTTTGAGGGGAAGTGTACGCACAGGCCTGCATGGATAAATTTTTTTTTTTTTTTACAAAACAGATTTTCATGTATCTCAGGTAAAATAGTCTCTTGTAAAATGTCTTCAGCTTCCTAGAGTTGTGGGCGATGAGGAATATAATAGTCAGCTTCCTCTTAAGGTACAGCTTTGAGTCATAGCTGTTTCCTTCTTAAGCAGATGTGAAAGAGAAACGTCTGTATATCCAGACAGATCTCTCTTGACCCTCTAAAACAGTCTCAGCTGTTTTGGCCAGTAAAGAAAGGGATTAAAATAAGTATATTGTGTGAGTAGGTGTGGATTTAGTTTCTTTGTGAGGACTTTTAGATTGTTAGTCCCATTGATTTTGCTGTTTGCAAGAATAATTGCAGATTTTTAATTTTTTTTTTTTTGCTGCACTGATACAGTTCTGAGGAGTGCAAGTTGTCTCCTGCTTGGTTTTCCTTCTTCTCTTGTCACACATAATTGCTAATCTGTACTGGTACCCTGCAGACATCAGTGTAATAGCTAAATTCAGCATGATCTTTTTCTGAATTAAGTATCACTTCAAAGACAACTAAGGGGTCTGCTCAGCTTCTGGTTTGGATTGACTCATTTTGCCCATAGTTTTTTTCTGTTTCATCCCCTTGGTGTTTAATGTGTGGGTGTGTACATGGCAAGACTGTAGTGAATGCTGAGCTGTTAAGCAGCTGACAGAAGTAACTGCCTTTTGGTTGTCAGCCTTTCTGTAGAAAATCTTGTGTGGGGAAGGGGTCTAGTTTTTTTGGAGATTTTTTTTTTAAGGCACTAAGAAGCCTTTCTGGATGAGAATAACAGTGATCTCATTTTCAGCAAAATTTTTCTAGTATTTGTTTGATTTAATAAATGAAGAAAATAATTAGGTAAATTCTAGAGCAATTTGATAGTCTCTTATTCCAGCTGGAAATAGCAGGTAGCAAAAATCAGTTTATTCTTCTGTGTCTAATGAGTCTTTAGTGTATTTTCTCAGGTTTCTGTTTTTTTCTTAATTTTGAGTTAGAACTTCCTTCTTTCAACAGGCTAATTCAATACAGTATAAAGCAGAAGCTGTGTATATGCACAAAGTCTGAGAGAGAGCCTAGTGTGCGAGTTGAGTGCTGCATATAGACTAAGGAAAAAAATAACTTCATTGTATTCTGTGTGACTTGAATGGAAAAAACAGTGAAGGAAGTGTCTTTGTTATGGTAACTGCTGTTTTTCCTCTCCTTTAATAGCCTTTGTCAGTGGAATCGGGTGTGATTAATACATCTTGTGAATGGAATTATGGCTATAAAAATGGCACAATTCAGAATCTGGTTATCTAGCCAAGTCATTGTTTTTGTTTTGTGGCTTCAAAAATACGATTTCCAAACAACCTTGAATGAGGCTCTTAATATTCTCACTTTCATGATTCTCCCCTCCGCCCCTTCTCAATGTGGTTGTACTCACACCAGGTAAAAGCTTCTGCAGAGTTGCTTAACAAGCTTGGTCTGGACCAAGGGAGTTGTTTTTTCTAGAATAGTTCCCTTAAAGATTTTTTTTTCCCCCTAAGCAAAGTATTTATCACATTTCTAGCTTTTGTTAATTCTTACAGAAGTGAGAGAACTGCAAACACATTAAGTTTAATGCATACTGAGGTGTTTTGCTTTATGAATTTGATTTTGAAGAACTAGATTCTCCAAGATCCTGGTTATGTGAACTAAAAGCTTTCTGAAGTTTGTAGTCAGCATACAAACAAACAAACAAAAAAAGCTTAAATCCTTGACACCCCTGCATTTTTACCAGTAAAGTTGTCAGCTACTTCAAAGATACAGACATGGGCCTGGAGCTGCAGCTTTCATGACAAGTGAGCAGCCCAAATCTGTTGAGATCTTTGAAGCAGACATTGTTCTTTTTCTCTCATTTGAGGCCTGATCAAATTAGCTTTTCTGAAGTGTGTCTATTGGAGATGGTCCTAACATGAAATACAGCCACAGAAAAACAGGAAAAGTCAGGACAGATTGAACAAAATGTATGAAAGCAGTGCAGTTAACAGAGTACAATGCAAGCAGGTATGGTAAGTTTGGATGTGGGATTGTTTATTTTTTAATTTATGTATTTTTTGTGCAAGAGGCCCATTGGTCTGCGCAGGTGTCAGAGCTCTGCAGTGTTGAGCACAGGATGAAAAGTGTTAATATTTCAAAATCAGTTCCACTTTTGTTGTATCTTGTGTAAAGTGTTACCTACAGCTCGTTGTCTTATGCTATCAGACCTGTTCCATACATTCTTTGTTTTTATTAATAATTTTAATTTTTCTGAAATACTAATATTGTTTCCTGTGAAATGACAATTGCTCATGTTTGCATCACATTTCTTCTAGTATATTTTGAACCTGGTGGTCAACAGCAATTAAAATTCATGTATGTGACAAAGATCCCTGAAAAGTTCATGAAAATAGGTAGTTAGCAATGAAGGCATGGACTTACTGCAGGAAAAGTTGGAATGTAAGTTTTTTTAGCTTCAAGAAGGCTTACTGGGAATTCTCTCCTCTTAGATTCCAGAGAATTAATTCACTGATTGCCCGTGAACCATGGAAAGTGAGGTTTTGTTGCTGACGACTATTTGTATTTTTGGAGGATTGAATGTCTCAAGATTATACCATATTTGTTTAAAGGGACAATTTGTTTATAGACAAAATGTATTTTA